GAGTGTGTGTGTGTGTGTGTGTGTGTGTGTGTGTGTGTGTGTGTGTGTGTGTGTGTATACAGGGAATCTCATGCATAACAGAGAGACCGCTGATGACCCACCCCTAAGGCAGTGCAAATCAGACCGGCTTTCCCGGAATGGAGTCCTGTACACTAGTCCATTCTTTCAAATGAAAGACCTTTCCATGTTCAATTATTATCAGGTCTACTGCATTCCAGTACTAAGTTGGCCAGAAAAACACGACAGTTAAGCTGAATCAAATTCCCTCAGAGCTAGTGAAGGGCTGACTTTAATGGGGCCCCTAACAGTCATGTCAACCGAACGGTTCAGCAGTTGACGTGACCCCTCGGCTCTTGGAGCCAACCACACTGGGACTCAGGAATGTGAAGCTTTTATGATCCTTTCAGAGCTCAACTGGTCTCCACTGAGGTTCTACTATGGCCCTCCCTTTCCCACAAATCCTCCCAAAAGCCTCATCAAGACATAATGGATAGGGGGTTGTGCACAACATTAACCCCTGGGGCAAAACAAACAGAGATGGCCATGACGACGTCGTTTTATAAAAACAATTCAGACTTATAGACTTGCTCACGTTTGTTGATGAAGTGCATCATAGTGTTGATTCACTTTTAAAGGGACAGTCATACAGGTTTGGAACGTCATGAGGGTGAACTATGCCTTTAAGGTGTAAATTTGTATTTGATTGTGTTTCGCTGACCAGTATTATGGAAGCTTATTTTGGTTACGGAATAAAAACTAAAAAAGGTAATTGCCAATTTTTTTTCTCCCAATTGCAAGTTTACACAATTATCTCGTAATTCTGACTTTTTTTCCCCGCAATTCTGAGTTTATATTTCGCAAATGTGACTTTTTTTTCCCTCAGAATTCTGAGTTTACATTTCATGATTCTGAATTTTTTTCTTAAAATTCTGTTCTCGTGATTCAGACCTTTTCCCAGAATTCCGAGTTTATATTTTGATTCTGACATTTTTTTTTCTTCAGAATTCTGAGCTTACATCTTGCGATTCTGTTTTATTATTTCTCTGAAATTTGCATGTGCATGCGGTCAAGTCAGGTGTAAAAAATAAATTAAAAAAAGATTTGTGAGATGTAAACTCAGAATAGAAGAATTCTGATTAAAGTCTGAATTGTGTCAAAAAAAAAAAAGTTGCAATTTCCTTTTTATATTTTTATTCCGTGATGGAAATAAGCTTGGCTTCAGATGCGAGAGCCGTCTCTTAAATTCCCCTAAAAAAATAAGGTCAACGTCAGACCACACATTTGAATGCAAAATTCATATTGGTTACAATGTAAATTATACTCCGAGAAACCTGCACGAATGTCACGTTGTACTACATCCACATGCATCTGATCATATCACCACATTATGGATATTCAAGAAGATGCAAATCTATTCGATTTGTGAAACATTAGTTATTTTGTTTATATGAACAGTAGATTTTAGTTTAATGCTGCTTTTTCTTGTAATAATGTGCAAGAGAAACAGCACATCTCAGTTTAATGCTCTTTCTCTTGAGGCCAGCGGAGACAGGCAGGCGCCGGGCATTGCCCACAGGGGCCACACATGCAGAGCGCTCATTGATTGTGTTCAGCTCTTCACAAGCATCACGGTGCTGGATATGATGGAATGAGTTTTGTGAATTATGCTCTTTGTCGACCATAAATAATGTGCTAATGCTACAACCTAAATTGCGTTGAGAGTCTGATGGTTTGATTGGCCCAGCAATGGGTTTCTAATTGGATTTCATCTTTATTCTCTGATGAAAAGCAGTCAGAAATGAATGAGGATGTTGTGCATTGTCATGCCTTGAACTCTTTGATTAATCACTTTTTTTTTACTAATCATGTTTACGTGAAATCTTTGTCCTGTGCCTGATATTTGTGACACTATACACATTATTACCAGTCACTTATTATCAGTAATGGGCATACAAAGAAATTAATACAAGAAAATGACTCAGCTGTTTAGAAGCCAATTTCACACACAAATGATTCCCTGCAGGAAACTCTTAGGGACAAAGGCTTCATTGAATAGATTTGTTGTTTGCTAGCAGCGAACTCATCAGCAAAGATTTTCAGTCTTAATCAGACAATTATTTTCAAAACTGTTGGCTAACATTATGCAGCACTAAAGTACGGGTCTGTAATATTTTTTAATGTTTCTGGAAGAAGTCTCTTATGCTCACCAAGGCTGCATGTAATTGATCAAAAATACAGTAAAAACAGTAATATTGTGAAATATCATTACAAATTAAAATAACTGTTTCCTATTTGAATATATTTTAAAATGTAACTTATTCCTGTGATTGCAAAGCTGAATTCTTAAAAATGAATGAAATCATAACAATAAAAGACTATGAATAAAAGTGAATAACCATGAAATGGCTACAAATTGATTTTTTTGTTTTTAAATCAGGCAACTTGAACATAATACAATTTATGGAATTTAGTGACATTGTTAATGTTAACAAATATGACAGATGCAAAATTCAACAAAAAATAGGAGCTGGACTGTTTTATATTGATTTTAGAGTCACTGTTACATAACTGCAAATGTACAACCACATCACAAGGCAATCATGTGATTCATTCTCTGCTTCTTTCACATCATATATTTCCTTTCAATTGACCTGCAATGCTCTACTGTGGAAGGATACAGTATCATAATTTAGATATAGGGGGAAATGCATAGCATGGCAAGTGCTTCCAAAAACACATCTTAATCGCCATCTAGCGGTTAAATTATATATAAATTATAATAAATATAATCTATGCACATACTGGACACACTGTAGCTCTAGCTTCTTTTTAAAGATTCTTACGGGAGTTTGTTCTAATAAGATATAGGCACAAGGTGAAATGTGCTAGAATGGGCACTATCACATAATCAAGATTTAATCCTGAGAGCAAAGTTTCTGAAAAAACTACTTTATTGTTGGATGGTTAACAAACAAACCACTATTTGCTTTTTTCTCTATCCCTAAATCTGTCCACGTTTAATATATCTGACATATGTACAGATGATAAGAATGTGATCAATTGCTTAGAAAACACAGCAATGCAGCTATATCCTCTGAGACTTTTTTTCTTGATAATCCTTTTCCAAGAACACAAAAAAGGCTGGTAAATAAATCTTCTGATGCAAATCATGTAATTTGCCTTGACAATAATCTGTGGCCACCTCACTGGTAAGAGTTTGGGGTCGCAGGTATCACCATTAGGTGGAGCGCTTACAATCAGGAAGAGTGTAGAGGTATGACATGTCAGTGGCGGTTGTTTAGTCCAACCAGCCGAACACTTTCCTCCCACAACCTTCTTGCCACTTCATCATCTTTTCCTTCTGGTGACGGGTCTTTTTCAGTGCAATCACTGCACAAAACACATACACAAAACAGTATGAGTTTACAAATTATTGACAAAGTGACAAATTATTGCATTTACCTGAAGTAGCAGCCAGACTTCCTCTCTAAGCCCTCAGTGACAGCGCAGTAGATAGAGGTCTGTGCGCCCTGCCAGGGAGTTTTCATCAGCAGCATAGAAGGCAGAGAGAGTATAGTCTTCAGCATTGGGTACCATGCCAGAACATGGCGATTCAGCTCTGTTCGAATCACTCCTGGATGCAGGCAGTACACGGAGACTCCTGTACCTATGGAAGCATCCATTGAAATATAAAACAACACAAACAACAAAAAGTATTTATGTAATTGCTTTATTTGTATATGAACTTGTCACAAACTGGATTACACATGGCCAGTGACACAGTATGAGACAAAATCACCCAAGACAGACACTAAAACATAGAATATTGTTTACTTTTTTGCTCAAAATAAACAAAGCTTTGTTAGTTTATTAATTGTTTGCTATACCAAAACTGCAGTATATCTTACCTTTCATTCTCTGTGCAAGTTCTCTAGAGAAAAGCACATTGGCCAGCTTACTCTGTTTATAGCTGAGCAAAGAACTGTAAGGCCTTTTGTCAAAGAACAGGTCATCAAATTCAATCTTTCCTGTAGGAAAACAGAGAAAAATATGGTTATATATTGACTCAAAAGGTTCCGTCCTGTTCAAAAGTTTAGGGTCAGAAAAATTTTATTTTGTAAAGAATACTTTTATTCTGAAATTATGCATTAAAATGAACTTACTATTTATTGAAGAATCCTGGAAAAAAAATTCAACGTTTCCACAAAAAATACTAAGCAGCACAACTGTTTTCAACATTAATAATAATAAGAAGAAGAAATGTTTCTTGTGCACCAAATCAGTATATTAGAGTGATTTCTGAAGGATCATGTGACCCTGAATACTGGAGTAATGGCTGCTGAAAATTAAGCTTTACCAAATATATTAAGATTAAACAGTTATTTTAAATTGTAATGATATTTTACAGTATTAATGTTTTACTGTATTTTTAATCAAATGACAGACCCCAAACTTTTTAATAGTAGTGTATTTTCCATAAATACAAGCAAAGAAATAATATAGTCTGGTCTGAAAATATTTGAAGGTTTTATTTTCTGATTTTTAATCAAAAGAAAATTACCACCAACATGTGCAATACTGGACACATTCACTATGCGGCTGGGGGAGGATCTCTTTAGCATTCCTAACAGTAGATTGGTTAGAAGAAAATGTCCCAAGTGATTGACAGCCAGCTGTGTCTCAAAGCCATCCTCTGTAATACACTTCGGACACATCATAACACCTGTCAGAAAAAAAAAAAATTTTAAGATCTGTCTCTGTACCTTGGTTTTAAGAATGAAATCAGACTATGATGACAGTCTGACTCACCTGCATTGTTTATAAGTATATCCAGTCGTTCTTCTGTTGCTTTGAACTCTTTGGCAAATTCTCGGACAGAATAGAGAGAGGCCAGATTTAAGTGTCTGATGACTACATTGCCATTTCCTGTGGAGCGTCGGATATACTCTGCAGAATTCTTGGCACGAGTCAGGTCCCGGCAGGCCATCACTACCCGAGCCCCTAAATGCACACATATTCACATTTCCACGTTAAAAATAAGGGAATTAAAAGATGAGGACCTAAATAATATGCCGTACCTCTACGAGCCATATCTTTTGCAGTTTCCTTGCCAATCCCAGTGTTAGCACCAGTAATCACAACTGTCCTTCCATCTAGACGAGCATGGCTTTTGCAGACACCACCAGCTATCCATTTCCGCAGCAGCATGAAGCCTGTATGGGAGATGGAACTATAGCTACACACACACAATGCTTAAAAGATTTTAAAATACATACTCGGCTCTAGAATCTTGGAAATCTGTAGCATTTTTTTTTTATTTAACTGGTAATATTGTTATATAGCCATATGTGTAGCCTATATTATACACACTACTGTTAAAGTTTGGGCTTGGTCTCTACGGCTGCATAATAATACTAAATATGGTCAAATTGTTCAATATTATTATATTTTAAATAACTGTTTTATATTTTAATATATTTTAAAATGTAATGTCTTCCTGTGATGGCAAAGCAGAATTTTCAGCAGCCATTACACCAGGGCTGCGTTCAGCCCCGACAAAAACGGTGCAAAACATTTTTAAACGGAAACGGTGGTGCGTTGAACACCCTGTTCTGATGACGCAAGAGTTGCAACTATGGCAGCTGAGAAG